CGTGTTTATCGTTGCTTAGAAATCATCTATGTAAACAATGACAGACTATCATCACTGTCTTGTCCGTATACTGATTAATATGTTGTAATTGACATCTTTGATAATGGCTAAGTAAGCCGAAAGCTTAGATTATATTAAAAAATATATGGATCAATATTGTGAATTTCTTTCTTCGTTCAACGATAATGTTATTAAACTTATCTGATGTTTATGAAAAAAAATTTACATAAAATAAATAGACAACACTTGTCTATATTATTTAATGAAACGTGTATATATATATATATATATATATATATATATATATATATATATATATATATATATATATATATATATATATATATATATATATATATATATATATATACAGGTGTGTATGAATCAAATTTTAGTTCTAAGATATGCTATATTTATGGGTAAAAGGTGCTCAATACTGGGGCGTATGTAAATATGTTAAATTTTGTTCATGCATGTAACAGACTGTGTTGATCTCAGTGGCCACATATATATATATATATAAGTATTCTGATTGGTCATCATAGGTTACCTAATAATGTTTACTGAGGGTGCTTGGTTGTTTTTGAACTCAGAAAATCGTTTATTTTCCATTCAACATTATCACTTGATAAGACACCAGCACTGTTGAAACAAAAATGCAACTTTTGTAGGGATCTTATGACATCTATGTTATAAATTTTAATAATATATATATATATATATATATATATATATATATATATATATATATATATATATATATATATATTTGAATCGGAAATTTGTAGCATCATTTTTAAGTGAATTTCAAAATAATATTTAGATATTTATACACAAATTGATTTTACTACATATATGAAAATTTGATTCACTACATTCCGTAATCTATGAGGCACCCACATGATTCCCTCCTCCCCAACATTTGGCTTGTTTCTGGGTGGTCAACTGGCCTAAGTGCTTTTTAACGGCTTTCAGAAAAGTTCTTCCGATTAAGAGAATTTTGTACATATTGACATAAGTGTTCAGCTGATTTACTTTCTTCACTAGAGAACAATTGGGAACCCAATCTTTATCTTTGTAAATAGTCTTGGGGAGGGGCAGAAATATTTTAACTGTTAATAAAGGTCTCCCCAGAATATTTATGGTATAAACTACAGATTGGCTCTATCAGCGTTGAATAAGTACAAATGGCCCTGATCAGATGGGCATGCTTGAAAACAAGCGGCCATGTTAATGACTAGAAAGCTCTCTGATTTGAATTGTGCCTTCAAGATGAAACAGCTTTGGTGATTATTTTTTATTTATTTAGCATAGTTGCAATATAAACTAAAATTTGGCTCTACATGTGTTGAAGAAGGACAAATGGACCTAAGCTGATGGAAATTCTACTGTGCCTTCAAGTAGAAATGATGATGATGATTATCTTTTGATTTGGTTGTTATGCTGCATATGTATTATATAATGCCGAAACTCAATTCATTTGCAAATGGTTAATTATAGTCATAACTAGTTATATTTTCAATATTCCAATTCCAATACTCATCGTATCAACGTCCATATTCTTTTGATTTTAGCTTATCAATGTTCAGGTGCAAATAAATACTAACCTCGAAGACGGTGGAAGATATTATATAAACATTTATATATCGGACTAATAATATGTAAATGAATGACAAAAATAGGAAAAAGCTCCTAAGTAACGTATTTAATTACTAGAAGGAACTTCCTTAGGCATTTTCCAACGGTGTCACTTGTTAGGATCGTCTCCCCCACCTTTATATCCGTCCTAGGTATGACGATAAACTACATCCACGTCCAGGGTAAGACGATAAACTACGTCCAACAGCAAGGCTTTTGATCAGGAGGCTTTGAGGAGCGTGGAACCACCTCTTAATTGCTGGTATTCCCCGGGGGGGGGTAGCACCTGTTAGTGTCACAGCTATGGGCAAATAGTTAGCCTCAAAACTGAGGTAAAACGTATTATGAAAGTGTAAAACCAGGTCTTAATACCAGAAATACTTTGTAAAAAATATTACAATAAATAAATTTTTGAAGAAGAAAAACTATTATCATCAATACGTTTTTGAAAAAAAATATTACCAGCAATACATTTTTGAAATTATATTACCAGCTATACATTTTTAAGGAAAAAAATATTTCCAGAAATAGATTTTTGACAAAACAAAAATATCACCATGAAAAAAGTTGTCGGCATTAAATGACCCATTGACGTTGATATGCCGTAAAACAAACCAAACCAAATCAAACAGAGTAATTAAAAATAAAAAAAAATACGAAAATAAAACCATCCAAGATTGTAAATGAACTCAAAAATATGAATAATTGAAAAATGGTTGAAATATGTATGTATACATGTATACATACACACCGTTTTTACCAAACTATCGCGATGAATCTATTTTTAAAAAAGTTTTGGCATGAAATGACCCACTGCTTATATGCCATAAAACAAAACAACCATCCCACTTTCATATAATCAAGAAGTTATCTCCTTGATAAATTGGCAATGGTGAGATTCGAACTCGAGTCTTATGGTCAAAAAGGCTAACACTCTAACCATTTAGTCATACACCCACTATATTTTATGAAGCTAACAGTTTCTTCTATCGCACTTCTCGCATAGGGAAATCACTTCCGGTTTCTTTGACCTTTAAAAATTTAAATGCAATGTCAATAGTTATCTTCCGTTTTCTAAATTCTTATTCTTTCATTATCCTCTCTCATTAACAGTTTGGTTTGGTTTGTTTTACGTCATATCAACCTCAATGAGTTATTTAATGCCGACAAGATTTTTATTGCTGGTAATATTTTTTTTCAAAAATGTATTGCCGCCAATATTTTTTTTTTTCAAAAATCTATTGCTGATAATATTTTTTCAAAAAATGTATAGTTATTTTTTTTTCAAACAATATACATTATTTTTTTTTTTTCCAAAAATCTATTGCTGGTAATATTTTTAAAAAATGTACTGCTGGTAATAATGGATTGCTGTTAATAATATTTTGCAAAAAAGTATTTCTGGTATTAAAACTTAGTTTTACACTTTCATAATGTTTTGACTCCAGTTTAGGGGTTAACTTTTTGCCCATGTCTTGAACCCTAACAAGAGCTACCACGCCGGGTCAGGGTGGACCTGGAAATACCAGCAATTAAGAGGTGGTTCCATGCACTTCAAAACTGCCTGATCAGAGGCCTTGCTGTCGGAAGTAGTTTATCATCTTACCCAGGACGCGGATGTAGTTTATCGTCATACCCAGGACGGCTCATTAATAGTATTTATTTTCATATTCTCTAACACTCCTTTCGTTTTAGTGGCTTTATTGCCTTGTTTGGGGCGAAATGATTATAAAAAAATAATGATTTATTTTTTATTTCTTGTATCTCCCATAACCATTTAGTCATACACCCACTATATTTTATTAAGCTAACAGTTTCTTCTATCGCACTTCTTGCATAGGGAAATCACTTCCGGTTTCTTTGACCTTTAAAAATTTAAATGCAATGTCAATAGTTATCTTCCGTTTTCTAAATTCTTATCCTTTCATTATCCTCTCTCATTAACTGTTTGGTTTGGTTTGTTGTGCGGCATATCAACCTCAATGGGCTATTTAATGCCGACAAGATTTTTATTGCTGGTAATATTTTTTTTTCAAAAATGTATTGCCGCCAATATTTTTTTAAATTTCGATTTCTAATATGTATGCCTAATTCAATTGAGAGAGGTGATGATGAATAGAACATATTGTTAAAAAAGAAATTATTATTTATAAATGATTGATTTTATTGGAAAATCATCAATTCCTTAAGGTTTAGCCTGTTTATTACGATCAAGACCATTGATGTTGTCAGTGTTGCAATGCAATCATTTCCTTTTAATCACACTGTGTTCAGATGTAATTCTATCATGTAACATCGTTTATGTGCAATTGGATTTGGTTTGTTTTACAATGTTTAGGTGCAACGGAATCCTCATCTCAAAGAAGCACTTCCCCGACAGACGAAATGTCGCAAGCCACTCGCTGCTCTATCACTTTTTCCATGGAAGGTGTTCAGACGAACTAGATTACTTAGTTCTACCTGTTCTAACCATCACGGCTAAATCCCACCATATTACGCACATTATAGCAAGTCACACCATTCCCTTCGTATTCCACCCGAGCAGCTTCTTCCCACGAACTGCTTCGACTCCGAAGTGGATGTTTCCACGATCAATATAATCTTAACCTGTTCAAGTTTAGGGATAACCGTTATCTTCCCCATATATCCGCATAAACTGTGCCTCTTGCTTTACCCTCAGTGGCTCCAGGGTCTTTCTTGTACAAGGTGAACATCATTGACAAAAAAGCTGTGAATGTTAGAAACGAGTTGTGTCCAAGTTGTGTAAATAATATAAATAATAATTCCGCATCTCACTTTCTTTTTTATATGTCATGTCTCTTTGGCGATCATGGCTCTCCACAATTTCCTGTCCTTTGTAGCTCATAATAAATTTTGTCTTTTTGTTATCTCTTCTAAAACTTGTTCCGCCATCAATTTACTCAAACTTGCTAGGTAGATTATGCGTTGTTTTCCTCTGTCTCTCTTGCCTTCAATATGTTCTGTGGGTATCAAATTTTCCAAGTTCTCTTTCCTCATTTTTACACCTAGAAATTTCAACTACTTCCTCCTGATGTTAATTATAAGTATCCTTTTTACAATCTTCTCTACAACTTCGTCGTTGCTCGCAAGTTCGGTCCAGGGTATTCTCAGCATCCTTCTGTAGAACCACATTCTTTAGATTGCAAGAATTTACCTTTGGAAGATAATAATAGCTTAGTGATAGAAATCTTACTAATTGATCCATACCTGGGGAAGAAATGGTGGATCCATAGTTTTCCAAAGCCGCGTAAATGAATATAATGAAATCAACTGGAATTGGAACTCGGCTCTCAGATTAGCAATTCTGAGGCATTATTCATTACACCACCGACGTATCCAAGCTTACCGCACCTGGTAATCCTAAGTGGTCACCCACTCTAAGTTCTAACCAGGATCGATGTTGCTTAACTTCGGTGATCGTACGATAACCTGTGTTTCAACGTGATATGGACGTCAGCCTTCTTCATATGTGAGGAGATTGCAATATAGTAGACCTGATATTACATAACAGTTCAGTAATCTATTTGTTTCTAATGGAATTTTCCTGTTTCTTTATACTTTGCTTAGCTTTTAGAAGGCCCTTTCACTATCCAAATGCGACTTCGGAGTTCGGTGTCGCACTTTCCGTTCTCTTTTAAAATACTTCCCATCTTCTGGTAAAACATTTCCCAGTTATGCCGATCCTTAAATTTAATTTAATTACTTAGCTATGCAAGGAGTTTAAAACTGTCAAAAACTGTCGTGTGTCTAAACTTGAACGATGGTTAGACGATTGTCTGAACAGGATTTTCAGTTCAAAATGTATACTCTATAACACTTAAAATCTGTCAAGGAGTGGTAATAATAGATCGATAAATAATTTAGAATTTGGCAAAACTCCTCGGGGTTTATATTGTTACACCCGATTAGTATTTTGCAATATTAAAATGAAATGAAAACAGTTCAGTGAATCGGAGATCTTTCTTTTTCTGATAACGTTCAAATTATACAGCAACGCCCAATTGACAAAATATATGAGATTTCGCATTTGTTTCTTTTGTTTAGAAGTAGAGATAAACAAGACATGCTAAAACAAAAAAGATGTCAACACGCTTCGACTTACATATGTACGCAAACTTGTATACATGTATAAACATGTGTGATGTTACAAAGAATTGCACCCGCATATACACAGTCGTATAGCCTGTGGTACCTGTTATCCGCGTTTTGAGTTATCCGCGCTCATTATACTGAAATAAACATAAAGTTTACTTAATAATTTTCCGACAAATTTAATAATTATCCCGTATTCTGATCCGTCAAAATGAAGCATCCTTTAAATTCTAACGTAAAAACTAATATAGAAAATTACCTACGTATACATTGGTCTGTTCTTATCCACATGTTCATTTTCCTCGGTTTCAGTTACCCGCGGTCAAATCTAGAAATAAGCAAATCATAAAATTTACATAATAATAATGCAGTGTTAGTGATGCTAGGTATTTTGATCTACCAAAGTGAATCAAAATAATGAACCGAAACTATGAAAATGCATTAGAAATTATTCCATGAAAATGCATTGGAAATGATTTTAGTATGAAAATGCATTGGAAATGATTTTAGTATGAAAATGCATTGGAAATGATTTTAGTATGAAAATGCATTGCAAGGGATATTTGAATGAAAATGCATTACAATTGTATTTACTATGAAAATGTATTGGATATCATTTGTCCGTAATTCCGCATTAAAAGTGATTTCACTATGAAAATGCATTGAAAATGATTATACTATAAAAATGCATTGGAAGTGAATCTTGCATAAAAATACATTTAAAGTGAATTTACTATGAAAATGCATTAGAAGTGATTTTTTCTATGAAAATGCATTACGAGTGATTTTACTATGAAAATGCCTTGGAAAAGATTTTATTATGAAAATGTATTACAAATGATTTTAGTTTATATCGTTTGGTTTTTCGACATGTAAATCCAATAATTTACATGTCGAAAAACCAAACGATATAAACTAAAATCATGTGATTATTTTATGCTTAATTTTGCGTAGAGCACCCGTCAACCATACTATAATCGTGAGCCAATAAACAACACTGAGGTATACAAGATAATGACAATTCGGATATCGTAAAGGGAAAACGTAAAGTACACCCTATGCCAAAAAGTGAAAGTTAAAGCTTGTCTGTTTTGAATTCCTTCATTTTAAACTGTCGTCCCTTTCAAAGTATTCTTCTCTTTTCTTCATCTCCTTTATTACACACGCACACACATATTCTTTGCCTTTTCACTTCACATTTTTTCTTCATCATTCGTACTCCATGAAACCTTTCTCCTCCTCATTCATTGTACCTTTGACCACCCCCTCCTCCATACAACATCCAGTTATTTTCTATTAAATTTTCGTTTGTTGAATTGCTGTTTATACCCATTGTAATGACTCATGTCCCTACAATGTTGACAAATTACTCGCATTTTCTCGTTACTTATCTCGCCCACAATAAAACAAAAGACCCTCACCTGCGGTTTTCCGACCAGTCATCATTTGTCGTGTGCCGCTTACATCTTTGCAGACGACGATCAATTAGATGTGACACAAATCGACAACAAAGTTGCCGTAAAAGATGATGGCAGTCAACATAGCTCACGAGGCGTGTCAATTAGACGTAGGTTGGTGGTCGAAATTAAACAGCATTTCTTGATTATTATTATTAGAAGTAGTAATATTGTTATTATTATTAGTAGTAGTTGTAGTACTGGTGGTAGTAGTAGTTGTAGTAGTAGTGACATCGTTTATATATAATGTTGCATCTGGTTTTGCACTCAGAGATTCGAGCGCGCTGACTTTACGAATAGGAGCCATCTTTGAAAAGGTTTGTCGCAACTCTTTTAATTTGTTGGTTTTGAGGACTTAGAAAATCGCGTATATTGATTCTAATTCTCTAACAAAAGGTGTTCCTAGCAGTAGACGAAGCAGTTGATTCAATGCAATCACTCTACTTCATGTCAGTGGAAAACGTTAGCTTTGTCACTTCTCATATGCCAAGGTAATTAACGAAGTCAATCCGAAAAAATTACAAGGCAGAAAGAAAAAAAAAATGTAATAATTCAAAACATTTTCTTAATTGAAATTACAATGTGTGCTGTTAACACTGGCGTTATTTACCATAAAATATTTTCATTTCTTACACATTTTCTGTTAGAAGTGGTTTTAATTTTCAAATCTATGAACTTAAACATAGTAAAGCTCTTTGCTGTTCTGGTCATCATAATATTATAATTCTGTTTGTTTCCCCATCAGATATTAAGTTAGCAAAAAGCGCGTGCGCTATGACCTACCATTACCTCAGATAAATAATGGACCACTCCGTTTAGATTACGCGCAAAGACGGAAGAAAAAGATATATCAGAGACACTGTTTGGTTTTAGTAAGAAAAACAAACTATATATTAATAATAATAATAATAATAATAATAATGAAGAAGAAGAAAGACAAAAAAGAAAGAAGAAAAGAAAGGGGAGATAAAATATGGGATAACGCTCTCATGCGTTTAATGTCTGCTTCAGTGAAATGGAAAACCTTTCTTCTATACATAATGAACAGCATTAACATTTATGATTGTTCTTGTAATATTTTCTTTAAATTTGTTAAGTTCAAATATTTAACGATGTAATAAGGGAATTTCTACAGATATGGCTTAGAACTACATCACGTTGAAACACTGGCTCTCGTACGATCACCGAAGTTAAGCAACGTCGAGCCTGGATGGGTGACCGCTTGGGAATACCAGCTTCAGTAAACTTAGATGTGTTGGTAGTGTAATGGATAATGGCTCGAAAATGTTAATCGGAGACCTGAGTTCCAATTCCAGCTGGGTTCGTTATATTCACTGACACGCAAATGACCTTGGGAGAGGTATGAATCCATATCACCCCACTCCCGTGAGAAGTGAGGAGAAAAGTAAAATAAAAGAAAAGTTTTCATGAAGGCAGAAAAATGCAATTTAATTTTTCGAAGATTGTCGTTGGCAGGGAAGAAAGAAATCACAAGAGAATTCCACAGGCGAGAAGTTCGAGAAAAGAAAAAACTCTTAGAATAGAACTTATGATTACATCCTAGCTAATTCAAATGTAAAACCTAGTTTCCAATCTAGTAGTACGCTTAAGTTCATGAGGTCGATGTACCAAGGAGGAAAGGTCATTGGCATGAAAATATTTATACAAAAGACAGAGGTGAGTCACATCACGGAGGCTGGAAAGTGACTGTATTCGAGATGCCAGGTCAGGACCGATTATATTACAGACACTTCTTTGGATTTTATCGAGAATTTCCCGCCTTGCTTTGGGTGAAATGCTTAAAAAAAATCAATACGTTTTGTGAGCACGTTTTGTTTTTCATTTCTGTATACCTACTTTTGTAATCCCGTATATCCGTATGTCGTATTTTCCATGTATAGATTGACACGCCTATACATCACAGATGTAAGCATCAGCCTATAAGTATGGTTTGTTTTGTTTTACTGCATATCAACCAAAATGGGTTATTTAATGTCGACAAAATTTTCATTGCTAGTAATATTGTTTTGTTAAAAATCTATTTCTGGTAATATTTTTTTCTCAAAAATGTATTGCTGGTAATACTTTTTTCTCAAAAATGTATAGCTGTTAATAGTTTTTTTTCTCTTTCAAAATTTATTCCTGGATATATATATATATATATATATATATATATATATATATATTTACAAAGTATTTCTGGTATTAAAACCAGTTTTTACACTTTCATAGTGTTTTTACCCCAGTAAATCGTCAGTTCTAAACAGAGACGGAAAGTACGATACATTAGCGCGTGCGTGTGAAAATAACAGTGAGAAATCTATTATTTTTGTTATTTTGATTAATATATCTATATAAAGTATATATTTATTTACGCCATATATACATGTTTATAGTATATATATTATGATCATAACTAACTATAGAGGTTTTATAATTCAAAAATAATCCATCCCCATGTACGGACAATCGGCTTTAACGGACCCCTATTAGAGATTTGTCTGTACATAGAACATAACGCATAGTTTCGGCAAGTTCTTCGACAATTTTCTACCCGACATCTAAGAGACCAAGAAAAACTCACATTCCTTGTTAATTTTATTCTATAAAAATGTTTCAACGAAGTATTACTCTCTAAAAACTATGTTTAAATGTATATATATATATATATACATATATATATCACACACACACACATATATATATATATATATATATATATATATATATATATATATATATATATAACTAGCAGCATGGACCGGCGTTGCCGTGATTGATTAAAAATCATACGACTCATACAGTAATCGCTATCACTTGACTTAAAAATATTTTTGCCCTTCCTAGCTGTATTTTTTTAAAGGAGTGCCCTTTGTCGTGCTGATGTTGCTACATGCCTTACTTCTT